CCCCATTATTAAACTGTCTTGGGGAAAGAAGTAGGGGGACGTTTGGAGTTATGACATTTGTCTTCTCAAGTCACTGTTACGTGTGCTGAAGACCTGCTCTGCTGGCAGTGGCCCAACACCTGCCCGAGGTGGGCAGCAGTGCATGAACCCCTTCTTTCGCCTTGCTTGTCTGCACAGCTTTTGCTCTACCTGTCTTTATCTCAACCCACTAATCTTCTCACTCTTGCCCTTCCAGTTCTCCTCCCCATCCCAAAACCCTGGTGGGGATCACTGGTAAATCTCCTGCCTGTCCTACCTGCCCCGGGAGCTCTGCAGAGAGCTCCTTCCTCTGCAGCACAGCTCAGATGATACAACAAAGTCCTGGGGAAGATGTGGCAGCCAGACTGTGCTCGTGTGTGCCACACACAGGGCAACACCAGGGACAGGCTGAAAGCTCTAAGCCCAAAACTGATGGCAGTTTGGCACCTAAAAGCCCTCGGAGGTGTCTTCAGCCCTTGTTGCGTTGCTGTGTACCCAAATGCCCAGATATGCTGGTGTGAGCTGGGCCAGAGCTGGTTCTGTTCAGCAGCTGGAACAGCGCTGGGGTTTGGGTTCAGCTGGGATTTGTGAGGAGAGAAACGCTGAGAACATCCCCATGTGGCATTTGTGTCCCTGGCACTGAAGGACTTTGTGTTTGTCCATCTGCAAGCGCCAGATCTCAGGGGTGAGGAATATTGACATGGATCAGCTCCATGGGCACTGGGCTCTGCCAAGGGGCTGTTCCATCTCCTGTCCCCCATGGGCAGGAGATCCATGAGGGGCTCTTCCTCTCTTGCTCTCTCTGGCTTTCGCTCGGGCTCTGGCTCTCCCGGGATTGCGGTTTCGGGTCGGGATTGTGGCTCCTGCGGGATTGTGATCTGGGAACGGGCCGGGCTTGGTCGGTGGGGGGTGAGGAAAGGGACTGGGGGGCCCTGCATATTTTATTACTATTATAATTATTATTTTAAGTTTTATTTTATTTCAATGATTAACTTGTTCTTCTCTCACCCTATGAGTCTCCTTCCCCTTGCCCCCCGATTCTCTCCTCTGTCCCCTGGGTGGGGGCAGTGAGTGAGCAGCTCTATTTGGTTGCCAGCCCAGTGCTGGCCCAATGCAACCACCACATCAGAGCATCCATGCAGCACCCTCCCGTCCTGCTCTCTGCCTGCCCAGTGAGACCCAAGAGGTTGTGGGACACAGTGGGAAGAGCCCCCATCACACCCCAGCTCCACGCCTCAAGCAGCCTGCAGCAGCACCACTGCTGGGGCTGGGAGAAGGAAGGACACCACTCTCCAATTCCATATGGAGTGACCTTTATTTTGTGGCTGTGCCCGGCGGGCACTGCAGGGCTGGCAGCACCCCGGGAGCTGGTGCCCCGCTGGTGGATGTGGTGCAGGGCTCTGGGGAGTCAGTGCCATCCTCAGCATCGGGGACCTCCGCAGTCCTCTCCAGGAAGATGACTATAAACCTTCCTTCTCAGCAGCATGTCGGGTGGTCTGAACCAGGGCATCCACTCTACATCACGGGGCAGGAAGTTCTTTCATTTTTTGAAGCTTCTGAACTGCTTTCTGCACCCAACTAATTTCCGGGTCTGCACAGATCTTCCTCCCATTCCTGGTCTCAAACCTGCCGAGATGAAAGGTGAAGCTTGGTGAGAAACAACAGCTATAAACCCACTGGTGTCCGTGCCATCCTCCCTTCCCTGCGCTCCTCCTCATTTCCCTTTGGCCCTGCGTGCTCCCCCTGGGGACTTGGTGTCCTCCGAGCAGCTCATCCTGCAGCCCATCCTGTGCAGAACCTTCCGGAGCTGCAATGGACTCGTGTCCTTAACTTTGCCCTGGAGAAGAGTCACGTCCTCCCCTCTTCATGCTGGAAGACAGCCACTCGTGGAGGCCCTACAGCCCTGGCCCAGTTCTGTCCCCAGATGGAATGGATGAACTGAACCCATGGTGGCCCAGGAGATGGCACAGCAGTGGGGAAATTACCAGGACTTACACAACTGCTGGGAGAAAACAATCCTTGGGAGTTGTGTAGAAATGCTTCAGGTTAGTCAGCCGGCGAGAGGACTTCATGTAACCGAAGCAGCACTCGGACGGTGAGTAAGGGGCTGGAGAAGACAAAGAGAGACGGTGAACACTGGCTTTGGAAAGCAATCTTTGAGACCTTCCCCCATGACAAGGGGCTGATGCACACAATATCCCCCAAGTTCTGCAGATGCTGCCACGAGGAGGCCCAGGCGCCATCCTTCCTTCCCAGGGCAGGAGGATGCTCCAGGTTATCGTCCAGCACCAACAGCCCTGCCTCTGGCTTCGCGAGGCCACTCAGCCCTGGGTGCCACCTCCATCCTTCCCTGCACCCCGGGACGTGCACCCCGACCAGTGGGCTGGTCCTCCTGCCAGCAGCACCATCCCTGCTCCGCTCCAGTTCCTGCCCTGACCTCCCCAATGGGATGACCCCAAGCCCTGACCCGCAGTGGTGGCCCATGATGATCCTTACCTGCATCAGAGTGTGGGGAGAGGGTGAGGAGCATCACGAGCACCAGGACCGTGCTTGCACCGAGCATGGTGGCTGCGTGGGGGCTGTTCCTCACAAGGTCCTGCTCTGCCTCTTCGGAGGAGCTCAGCTGTGAGCTCAGGCAAGGAGGTGCTCAATTTATCCTCTCCACCCCCTCCCCACATCATTAGCCCTTTTCCAAAGAATTTTGACCCAAGTTCAAGAGAAAGCTCTGTATGTTTTCTCTGGCCGAGGGGATTTCCGTGTCACGGGGGAGGGTTCCTGACTGGGACAGTACCTAGAAAGACTGAGCAGACTTTGGCACCGTCTGCGTTCATCGAGACGGGTCTGTGGGAAAGCCGCAGAGTCCACAAGGGAAGTGAAACCTTCCTCTGCAGCAGCAGAAACCCGAGGGCTCCCAAACCCATGGAGAGGGGATTGGTGGCAATAGGAGAGGCGAAGCCCGGCTTTCTCTCCAAAGTCACTTCCCAGCCCCGAGAGCCCATCTGAACGCGCTGGAGATGGTTGGGTGGCTTGTGAACTCCCCGGAGAGCGTCAGGCGGGAACGCCATGGCCGCTGCTGCCACCAGCCCTCTGCGCCTCAAAAGCTGCAGCATGTCAAACACTGTCAGAAATTGCATCACATTCTGGGCCGTTCCTATGGGGAGGGACACGAGTTTTCCATCAGAAATCCCTGTTTACAGCTGGGAAGCGTGGGGTGAAAGGAGGAGGACACGCAGCCAAGGCTGCCCTTGCAGATGAGGCTGGCTTAGCCCCTCAACTTCAGGGCAGGAGGCTGAATCAGGCTGAGAAGTGGAAGGAGAAGCTGGTGTTCAAAGTTCTTGGGTGTTTTTCCAGCATCTTGCTTCCCTTGAAGCTGCCCAGATCCTGCAGAGACCTGCAGAAAGGCCTTGCAGATAAGTCAGCCTCTCAGTGTTAACCCAGGGATCACTTCTCCTCACTGTTCTGGACTCTCCCTTCCTCACCTGGCCACTCAGCCCGCCAGACCCTTCTGCAGGTCCTGGCCAGTCATGCACAGCCCTGAAGCTTATACTTTCCCCATTCCCTCCTTATTTCCAGGCTGTAAGTGGATGGCTGGAGCAGCAGGGTCCCACGCAGATCCTTGGGGCACCACAGTCTCCCCTCAGTCACTACCCAAGGGGCCACCTCAAACCCTTCTTCACATTGGCACCCCCCAGCCACCTCTGGAGCAGGACACTATGCCTGGGACTGTGTCCTCACTGGGTGCCTTGTAAAAAACCTGGGGGGGAAAAACCACCCAATGCTGAGAACTGTCCTGGTCATGCCCATGTCTCCTCAACCTCAGCTGCAGTAGGAGACACATCTCAGGTAGATGCAGGCTCCAGGAGCCCAGGCAGGGTGTGCCAAGGCTCTTCCCAACCTCGTAGAGATGATTAAAATACAAACTGCAGCTGCTGTGCTTCGGCTCAGCTCCTGCGGGGAGATGGAGGCCCTACAGCTCAGAATCATGACTTGGCCCAGAAGGAGCTGGCATGAGGCCACCCACGCTGTGTAGCTGCCAGAGGACTAAGAATAAAGCATTTCTAAGCAGGTCCCACTACCCTGAAGGACAGTGCTGCTCCTTCCTGTGCGTGTTCAACCCAGCGACTCTGCGTCCCCCTGGGCTGCAATAAATTCCTTGTGCCCTTCTGCTGATGGCCAGAAGCATCTTTCCTTTCTCCCACAGCTTTGAGGGTGCTCCGTTCCCTTCTCAGCCATATCTGCTGATCCACAGGCTCCCTTCTCACAGACTCTGCAGGAGCCTTTCTCCAAACATGGGCCATGGCTGCTGGGACAAGAGGACCCTCCAAACCCACAGAGACTGTTCCAGCAAACAGCCTTTTGGAGACCACAACACGCCATGAGCTGCAGCCAAACCAGTAACACCGAGCTGGGAATGTGGGCCATATTGCTGCTCCCAATCCATTTTTGTCTTGCCTGTGGTGTGCACAAGAGCAGGGCCACCGAATGCAGGTGGCATGATGCTGTCATACCTATGGCAGATATCCTCAAGCTGGGGGAACACAGGCTTCCCTGCAGCCACAGACCAAAGGAGCCCACAGCCTGTCCTAACCACACCTGGGGCAAAGCCACCATCCAAGGGCTGGACCCTGATCAACACAGCAGGATTTTGGGGAAGGATAGGTGTGGTCTTGCTGCAAGTCCATGGCAAGTCCCACCATGGCCTGGGGCTTCACCCGACCCCTCCTCAGCTGTGGAGGGATGCTTTGGGTGGGCACCCAAGGTAGCACATAGAGCTGGTGGTGGAACAAGCACGGGGACACCCAGCAGCTGGGGTCAGAGAAGAGAGAAGAGACTGCTCTGGATGGAGAGGACCTTGAGAAGTAAAAATACTAGCGGGGCCTTGCTTCTGCAGTGTTGTGCTCGCTCATCTGGCAGAAGACGTGGCCTGGGATGCTCTGCTTCCCCTTTCTCAGGTTTTCAAGACATCGCAATGGCAGCCAGACAATTCACAACTCCCTGGAGATCCTTTGATGTTTATTCTTTTACTTTTTGGGAAGGGAAAGGCTGATGTGCTGTCATAAACTAATGAGTGCTGGGAAGCCCCATTGCTGGCCCAAGTTCCCCTTTCATTGGAATGGGCTCTGGAGAATTTGCTTGTTTACACAGAAGTAAACAGCATCCTCTTGATTCTGCAAGAGGAGGAGGAGGGAAGCTTGAGGAACACCTTAGGTGCAGCCTTTGCCAGCAATGGTGCCAGCGCGGGGAGGAAAGAGCTGGACAGAACAAGTCCCACGTCTCAGCAGAGAAAGGAGCACACCCACCCGTGCTGGAAAACAGCCACGTGGTCATCGTGCTGCTTGGGAAAGCAAAAGCAGCTGAGCTGCAGAGGCAGGAGAGAGGTGGCTGAGCATCACCAGGTGCCTGAGACCTGTCCCCAGGGAGGTGGTGGGGTAGGAGTAAGCTTTTCCCTATCATCTTCTGTCCTACCCCATCACTTTGACTCTTCTTCATTTACAATATGAACCACTCCAGCTTTTTTTCTATTAAAACCTCAGCTTTCTGGTTGTAAATCCTCTGCATTTCCTTGGGGTGCTCACTCAAGGGTCTCCTCAGCTCCATTTTGAAACTCTGGTTGACTTAAGATATAATCACAAACCAAAGGCAATGTGCTCATCCTTCCCTGACTCAGCGCTCACCCTGCAACTCCAGGTACGACCACACCAGGTCCTACAGCCCAGAAAGACACTTCAAAAAGAGGAAAAGGAGAGTCTCTTCCAAAGCCTCCTTCCTACAGCTGGACACTGGGGACCACCAAGTACTGGAAGGTGATGACCCAAGTCACATCCTGTGCGGTAAGTCCTGCCCAGCATCACGAGACACAGAAGCTGCAGGAAGGATGTGTCCAGCAGCCCTTCCCCAGGGAATATCTGCACAGAGTCACTGGGCAAGCTTGCCCACCGGCCTAGGGGTAGAGCAGAAACTCACCATGGCCAGGAAGAACCTTCACCATGATGGCCAAGGAGGGCCAGGGGTGGGTGCACCTGGACCAGAAACTGGAAGCAGCCACTTTGCTACAGAAGAGAAAACAAGCATGTGATGCTGCTTTTCTCAAAAAGACATTTTTCCATTTTTCTCCAGTGAGGTTGATCAACTGCCCAAAGGTTAATGAAGGATGGATCTGGGTGTCAGGAGGAGCTGCTGCTCCTAAGGGAGACTCTGTGCTGAAGAGGCTTCTCATTCAGGTGGCAATCAGGGAAAATGATGCTCAGTAGGACTTCAGACTCCTTTTCTTTTCAACTCTTTTGAGATTTTTTTGAGCCCCTTGAGCTAGAGACAGCAGTGGAGAGCTGCCTCAGCTCAACCTTCAAAGCAAAGCTGTGGCAATAGAAAAAGAATAGGACATGGAAGCAATTTCAGCCTAATCTTTAGTGATTTAAGTCAGAAGAGAATTAGTCCTGATAACTCCAAGGAGGCAGGAGAACAAGTTCTGAATTGACTTGTTCCTTAGTTTCTAATTAGGATAAATCCCAGCAATCAGAAAAATAAATTCAGAGGAAAGAATGTGATGGGAAAGATCCACTGAAGTCCCCAGATATCGTAACAAAAAGTCTTTGTGCCCACTGTGGTCTGAGTTGGCAAATTGCCATCACACCCCTCCTTGCAGGACACCTCTCACTTCTTTCTATTATTATTTTTTTAATTCTTTCCTTTGTGACCTTGTAGCTCACCTAGCAGAATCCAAGGGTGCTGTGGGGGCTGCACTGGGAGCACTGGGCTGGCAGCCTAACCCAGCTGGTTGCTCACGGCCCCCACCCAGGGGATGGGGGAGAGAATTGGAGGGGAAGGAAACTGATAGGGTGAGATGAGAACAATTTAATCCTTGAAATAAAATAAAACTTAATAATGATATTGAAATAATAATGACAATAATAATAGTAATAAAATACACAAATGAGTGACACCCAGTGCCATTGCTCACCACCCACCGACCAAGCCCGGCCCGTTCCCAGATCACGATCCCGGAGGAGCCACAATCCCGACCCGAAACCGCAATCCCGGGAGAGCCAGAGCCCGAGCCAAAGCCAGAGAGAGCAAGAGAGGAAGAGCCCCTCATGGATCTCCTGCCCATGGGGGACAGGAGATGGAACAGCCCCTTGGCAGAGCCCAATGCCCATGGAGCTGATCCATGGCAATATTCCTCACCCCTGAGATCTTGCGCTTGCAGACGGACAAACACAAAGTCCTTCAGTGCCAGGGACACAAATGCAACATGGGGATGTTCTCAGCGTTTCTCTCCTCACAAATCCCAGCTGAACCCAAACCCCAGCACTGTTCCAGCTGCTGAACAGAACCAGCTCTGGCCCAGCTCCCACCAGGACAGGTGCTTCAGAAATGAAGCTTCCTCCATCACCTGAGATGGTCACTGAAGAGGTACAACCGTGGCAATTCCTGACAACCCAAGGGAATTTACCAAGTATTTACCCAAGGAGGACTTCAGCTACAGGAGAAGCCCTCACAGTGAGGTGAACAGGAACATAATCCTCATAAAAGTGGAGATTAAGCAAACACAAAGCATGGAAGAAC